ATATTGACTACAAGTTTCTGTCTACATCAGGTGCATCACAGTTTAGTTCCTTTGTGCTCTACACAATATAATTTCTCCCCAATTGCACTTCTGAAGGTCCCTCTCAAATTTGTCTCACCATCATACAGGAGTCAGTGAGTAGTTTTTCCCTCTTTTTTATTTAGGTATTAATTAATAACTCATTAAGGTACAACTAAATCATCAACCAAAAGCTGCCCCTTGAAGCACACGGGAACCACTCTGGGCCCAGCAGAGCCTGGGCTGGAAGAAGCTGCCTGGAGGTGTGTGGGGGGGTTGGTTGGTGAGGTGTTTTGTTTCAGGCAGTAAATCAGTGGTTTCACATCCCTGTTGTTTTGATTCCTGAGGCCTCTGTTGTGTAATTGCTCTGGAGGTCACTTGCAAGAAAAGGATGTTGAAACCCAGGGAGGAGAAGCAGGAGGAGCTGTCAGAAAGGATCCTGCCCGCCAGCCGTGTGCTGTGGGTCCTGTGGGAAGAGCAGAGGCACAGCTGTTAGACAGGAGGGGCAGGAACACACCTGCACTGTCACCTGGGGACTGGGAAGGTGCAGGGCTGGACAGGAGCCTCTGCTCTGGAGCAGAAGGGGTTAAGCAGGTGAAGCAGGAGGTTGTAGAGGAGGCTGATTTCCCCCTTTCTCTGTGGCTGTGAGGCTTTAGAATGTCACTTTTCCGTTTTGACACATGTGTTTTTGTATCATTTGCTCTGTTTGGCATCTGGCTGATCCTCAGGGCGATCTCTCCCCACGGCTGTGGGGTTACTGTGTGTTTGGCCAGCAGCTGAGGACACTTTCAAGCGTGGCTTCTTCTGTCGTTCTCAAACTCTCTTCTCACAACCTGATGTTCATCTCTCAGTGTTGGTCCCACAGTTTGGCCAGCACAGGTACAACCACTGGACACGTTTCCCAGGAGATCAGAGAGCAAAACCTTGGCCAGAGCACTCTACTGATTTCACAGTCAGCCATCTCACTATTAATTGATTGTTGCTCAATGTGATTAATCATCTGTCAGCCTCAGTGGCACTGAAGGGTCTTTGCTGGGGTGCAGAGATCACTGTAAGTTGGAAATATCCTTGTCCTAGTTTGGGTTCCCTGCAGTGTGAAAGGAAGATCTGACACCACTGAGACCTTGAGATCTTAAACTTTCCTGTGAATTTTAACTTTTTTTAGCTAGAAATTGTTTCACTTGTAATGTTTCTTTCATTTAATTTCTTTGTTGTTGATTTTTTTTCATTTCAACAGGCTGCCAGCTGCATTTAAATTATTGTATGTTCTTTACATTTGGAGGCACCCAAAAATAATTAGTTCTAAGCAAACTATCTCAAAGAATACAAACAGATCCCAAATCCCTCTGTCTTCACTCAGCCCTCCTGTGAAATTTAATGTGTAATTTCAGTTTCGGGACTGCAAAGATTTAAATGACACTTTGGACTTGTTGGTCACAACAAAATGTTTTGATTTTTGCAACAATTCTTTTGTGTAAGAAATCTAGGGGGAACCAGGTTGATGTAGGGAAGGACACTAGTGGGTCTGGGCCACCAGCTCTTGTGAAATGGTTGGTTTGGGTATGAAGAGAGCACGTTAATCTGAACCTTTAAGAAAATAGTTGTTGTAAAGTGCTCAAGTGTGAGCTGGTTCTGCCAGTCCAGGTTAATCCCAGTGGGATTTAGAGAAAGAGAAGGAGTGGCTTCATGGAGCCATCCCTTATATGTATATTTGATCTGTTGAAAATTTCAATCATCAAGGTGCTTGTCTGACCCACAGTACTGTTTAACCCCCAGTGGTGGCACAATAACTGCTGTTATTCCTTATGGGATGAGGGCAGAGAAGGCAGAGGCAAATCATAGCTCCTATGTATTAGCCAGTTCAGAGTTCCTGCAGCAGGGAGCTGAAAGAGCCAGTGCAGGCAGCCAGAGCATTAAAACAAGCTAACAAATACTCTGTGCCTTTCATTTGTCTGTGGTTCAGCTTGTGCTCTGCAGAGTCACAGATGAGCAGAAATCCCAGCTAGGCTGGCAAGGGTTTGAAAAAAAATTAAACATTTCTCTGGCTTTATAACTCCCCTCAGTGTTGGAGCAGAAATAGGCTGTTGCATATGGATCCTGATTTTGATAAGAGGGTGCAAAGATGGGCTGCTGTCCCACTCAGCTGTGTCTGCAGGGATGGAAGGTCTGGGTGCTCAGGGAGCAGCTTTGTTGTGCCTGCAGCGCGGGGCCTCAGCTGTCCTTCATGTGATCTCAGGCATCTTCCCTGCTGTATTTTTAGAGCTGTTGTGCAAAGAAGATTAGCAAAGGACTTAATATCAGTGTGGATATGGATTCTTTCTCAAATATGGCAATGTTCTCCCTCTTTAGGTGATGGGTTTGGGCGCTGTCGTAGCTCTGTCACCAGGGCTGTGCATTGATATGTGCCTCTCCCTGGCCTTTCCTGCTTCTCCAGATGTGGTTTAGCTGTCTGAAGTAGTGGCTGCACTCCCTTAGTCCTGGTCTTGGTTTTGCAGGAATTAATGCCAGTTTATTAGGGAGCCTGTCTGCAGCTGGGTCAAGTGCATCCTTAGTGGGGAAGGAGTGAGTGATGTGTTGAGATCCAGGGGCTTTGTCTTCAAGTGGGAGCCAGAAGCACCTGGATCCAGTGGTGATGTGGGTGGGTTCACACTGGCCATTGTGGCCTTTCAGGGGTGAGGGGGCACTTAGAGCTCAGTGCTCCTGGTGAAGGTTTTCACTGAGGCCTTTGGAGGGTCCTGGTCCCAGAAGAGCAGCTCTTGTTCCTCTGCAAACTCCCTCAAATGTTTCTGGCACAGCTGCACCCCTGAAGGAGTAGAATCACAGACTGGTTTGGGTTGGAAGGGACCTTAAAGCCCACCTCATTCCACACCCTGCCATGGGCAGGGACACCTTCCACCAGCCCAGGTTGCTCCAAGCCCTGTCCAACCTGGCCTTGGACACTTCCAGGGATGGAGCAGCCACAGCTTCTCTGGGCAACCTGTGCCAGGGCCTCACCACCCTCACAGGGAAGAATTTTTTCCCAATATCCCACCTAAATCTCTCTTCTTTTAAAGACCATTCACCTCTGTGCTATCAAACTGTTCACCCTTGTTGTGGTGTCAGCTGGGGCAGCCTTCTCTCAGGGTAGGGCTTTCAGTGACACTTTTTGCAAGTGTGTTAAGGGCACATGGAAGGAGTGACACAGGGCAAACAGCTGAAAAATAGTTGCTAAATATTCTGTTATCCCAGTGGCCTACAAAGGTGTTCTCAGCTTTCACTGTCTGGCTGCTGGGACTGCAGTAACTGAGAGTGGGTGGCCTGGAGGCACTGGCTGGTCTGTGCTGGAACAGGGAAGAGCAGCAAGGCAAAGGCTTTGGCCTCGGGATAGCACTGGATGATAGCTGGAGTCTGGAGAGGTGTCCCCCTGCAAGTGTCCTGTGACAATGCCTGACATCTATCCATGAATTCCCATCACAACAAATTAAGCTTCTTAAAGCAGTGCATGTGCTTTTGCTGGCTGGAGCCACATGGATCAGTGTTGGGAACGGTCACTTACCATGGGAAGCTTTGTATTTATCTGCACTGGTTTAGTTTTCCCTGGGATAAGACTGAAATGCATAGGTAGAGGTTCTCCCAGAAATGTGGCAGAGCAAGCAGGACACTGCTCAGTGCCTTGGAGAGCAGGATTTAAAGCCCTGTGTGCTCTGTTATGTCCAGAATTCCAGCTGGCACTTCCTGCACTTCCCTCCTGATACTGAGCAACACGATAATCTGAAATAACTCCTTTCCTGTCCAGAGCTCCAGGAGCAGGAGATCTGGAATGTGTCCTTAAGTGCCTGGGCTATTTTAGGAGCAGGGGCCATGAATCCATGCAGGGGCAACCAGCCTTTGCTTTGCTGTGGGAAGAGGGAATGTGGCTGCTCTGGGCACACTGAGAGCCCAGCTGAGCTCGAGAATTATCCCATTAATGTTTCCTTTGTGGTGGAGACTTCTCTCCTGAGTAGCTATGTTTTTATGCACTACATAAAATGGTTGTGTCTTATGGAAGATGGGAAGATGGCAGCACTTCCTAGAGGTTAGGGTTGGCCTTGGAATGGTGGCAAAAAAATCTTAAAGCCCAAATGTGGAGCTCTGAGAGTAGAATGGAAGGAGAGCACAGATTCTCCTGGAACAGCTCTAGTGGAATTCTAGGCAGCTTGTGCAGCAGTCACATATCCACAACAGAATCACAACATGCAAGACATTTGTCAGAAATCCAGGGAAAACATTCTATCCTGCAAACATCTCAGAATATAGTAAGAGATGGAGAAGGGCGTATAATAAGAGATGCTCCTCTTAGGAAAAGAGGAGCAACAGTAGGTATGGCTCATACAAGTTAATTTGCTGCAAGTGCCATGGAAAACTGGCTTTCTGTTGGAGCTGATAAAGGGCTTTTCAGAGGGATGTGCTAATTAAAATAAGAAAGATTTCAGAACCAGGACAGAATTGTTTCAGAAATGGATAAAGCAAGGCAAAGTGAGCAGCCAATAATTTATGGTCTTACCCTTGATAGTTTAGGACCACTAGAACTGTTTGACACATCACATTTTAAGGTGCAGGAGTGTTAAATATTTTTTATAGCTTCTTCATACAGACAATATTGACTTGACCCAAAGATAATGAAATTCAAGTCTTTAGCCAGCAGAAATCAGCAGAGCTGTGCTTACTTTTGCCATGAGGCTCCTGATGATGAGTCCCTTCCTAGTACTCTAACAACAGGATTTTTTTTCTGCTTCATGTGTGAAAGAAAAATGATGTTAAGACATGTTTGGCTGATGACTGACTTGGTCCTGTCTCTGCTTGTAACTATTTTGCTTTAGCTTCACCTCTGAGAGAAGTGGAGCCAACACATGGGCTGAGGGGCCTCTGTTTTATTGGAGTTTTACTGTAAGGGAGCTAATTAGTTCAGGAAGAGTTAAAGCTGATCTACCCAGAAGCTGAACTTGCTTTGTTTTCACTTCCAGGCGTACGAGAAGCGCTTTCCTACCTGTCCAGAGATCCCAGTGTTTCTGGGGAGTGAAATCCTGCACGAATCCAGGAGTGAGGACGGGGCTATCCACGTCATTGAGCGGAGCTGCAAACTGAACGTGGACGCTCCCAGGCTGCTGAAGAAGGCAGGTGGAGCCTGGGGCACGGAGAGACCCGGGCTTTGTTGGCTCCTCAGGAGGGGTCCTGAAGTTGCTCTTTCTTCCTCTGTCTCTTTTTCCCCCTCCTTTTGGCTCTTCACCTCCTCAGATGGCAGGGGTGGAGTATGTGTTCTTCATCCAGAGGAACACTGTGAACTGGAGGGAGCGCACCCTGCGCATCGAGGCCCACAACGAGACCTTCGCCAACCGCGTCGTGGTCCGGGAGACCTGCAGCTACTCCGTGAGTGCCCTGGTTTGCTGGGCAGCCACGGCAGCCATGGGAATTGTGCACTAGTTACAGGGGGAAGGTGCTCGGAGGGATTTGGGCACTTCTGCAGCCCTGGACAGCAGCGTTTTGTGATCAGATACAGTTCTTTTGCTTCGGAGAGGGACTTTGGACAAGGGCCTGGAGGGCACAGGGAATGGCTTCCCACTGCCAGAGGGCAGGGTGAGATGGGATATTGGGAAGGAGTTCTTGTCTGTGAGGGTGGTGAGGCCCTGGCACGGGTTGCCCAGAGAAGCTGTGGCAGTCCCATCCCTGGGAATGTCCAAGGCCAGGTTGGACAGGGCTTGGAGCAACCTGGGCTAGTGGAAGGTGTCCCTGCCCATGGCAGGGGTGGGTAGAACTAGATGGTCTTTAAGGTCCCTTCCAACCCAAACCAGTCTGGGATTCTGCGATTTTGTAGGGTTTGAGAAACTCCTTTGGGTTGATTGGGATTCTCTGATTAGAGTGAGAGTAGAAAACAGAGGTGGTGCTCCAGGGCTGCTGGTATTCCCTAAGTTTCTTTTTGGTTGAAATTCAAGTTAATAAAAGCATCTGGATCTTCAGTATGTATCTGGATGTTTAGAATGGAACCCTTAATATTTGTTATGATGAAAGCCTGAGGGAAGTCTGACAATTAATTTTGCCCACAACTGAGTCAAAGTTTTAGCACCTTGTCATGATCTTCATGCTCTGAAGATCTGGAGAAAGGTCTTGTGCCTTATTTGTGGCCTGGGCTGTCTCTGTGCTTCATCTTCAGCACAGGGTGCCATTTCCCTGTAATTGTGCTCTTAGGGCTCGGTCACTGTTTAATAGCTTCAGCTGTTTCTGGAAGCAATCAGATACTGCTTTTTGTTCCTTAAACAAAAGTCCAGATCCTGTTACCTACCTGCCCTTTTGGCAGCTAGACAACAGCTCAGCTTCTTGGGAGTCAGCAAGCTGTGAGCAGCTCCAGGCAGGCGGAGGAGCTGAAAAGCTGTCAGCATTTTGGATGGCGAGGGGGTTCCTGAGCCAGAGATCACTTGGTGGCTGCATGGGGTGTCCTAAAAGCTGCAGTAAATCAAACTTCCATCATTGTCAAAGGTGCTGATGGGTCTGAAACGCTCGCAGGTCATCCCTGGGACCTCTCAGACATTGTTACACTTGCTGATTTTGGCTGTGTCCCGTGTCCTTCGGAAGGAAACGTCAGCATCTGGGCTTTGAGGGGAACAGGGTGGGAGCTCCTGGCTGCATCCTCAAGATGGTTCCCTGCTCTATTTTTACCAGTTCCCTTTTCCCTGCCAGAGTGCACCGGAAGCAGGTTTATTCTCATCTTTCCTTTCTTGCAGGGTTCTCTAAGGCAACTTGGAGAAATATGATCCTGCTCCTGCAGTTATTAAATGTGTCCCTGAGGAATCTGTCCATTATTGTATCTCTGTGTGGGGGCTGGAACTGTTGTTCCTTCATGTCAGTTTGTGAACAGCAGCACCTACAGAGAGAAGGCAGAGCCTTCCAGGAAAGGGTTAAGTTTAAAAGAGGAAAAGATTATATATGTTTTTACCATATATAGAGTAACTGAGGGGAAATGACTAGAAAGGAAAGGTGTGTTTTAAACTGAGTAGGAAAATTCCCTGCTCTGCCACGTCTCCAGTGTTTTGGGGGGAAGGCTGACATTAGTGGCTGAGTTTCCCATCCAAAACTAGAAAAAAACCCCCTGTTCTGCATTTTTCTTCATTGCAGCTATAGAAGTTTTAATTACATGTCCCACAAGGCCATCCCTTGTCTTTCCATAAGGAGCTCTTGACATGATGGTTTCAAATGGGTAGTTTCACTCCTATTTTAAGTGCAACTTTTGCTACTACTGTTACCTTTCAGGTCTGCTGGGGCAGAGGTGGGGTTTAACCTTCCCTTCCTCGTGCATGTGAAGGGTGTTGGGTTAAAAAACATTCATATGCCCTGTTTGTGATGAGTTTCTGTTACTCTGGGAGAATTAACCTGTTAAGTACAGTCAGTGCTTCCTCTGCCCCCTCACTCTGTAGCTCTGGAGATTTGCCAGTGTGGTGCCAGGGATGAGGGCCCTGTCATTCCACGAGGATGTGCCAACCCCACGTGTCCTTTGGGTGTAGGTTCACCCTGAGAACGAGGAGTGGACGTGCTTTGAGCAGTCGGCGTCTCTCGACATCAAGTCATTCTTTGGCTTCGAGAGCACGGTGGAGAAAATTGCCATGAAGCAGTACACCTCCAACATCAAACGGGTAAGATGGGTGCCACGAGCCCAGATCCCACACCTGCTCTGAGTGCTCCAATTTTCCTTTCTGGAATAGACCCAGTGTGGTTTTACACCCCTCGTTATGGCTCTGAAATCCCTCTGTTGGGCAAAGGAAGAAAAAAAGCCAGTGTGCAACGAGCAGAAAACAATCTGCTGGCTGGAATGTGGCTGTTCAGGGATGGAGCAGGCTGTGCCAGAGGAGGGTTGCAGTGGATGCTGTGGGTGCCAGGCTCCTTGGACAGTGGGGACACTGTTCTCGTGCAGGAAGGGAAAGTTCGGGGTGAAAACCAGCACCCTGTGTCTCTTGGGCAGAGCCACTTCCTTTCAGTGGCTGCAGAGGAACAGGGCAGCTGATTGATGGTTTGGGAGCAGAAGGAGATAAGTGTTTTAAGGGCAGCTGCATCCACAGTGCTGGAATTTGCCTGGCCAGTGTTGTAATTCCCCATTGATATGGGCCTTTCCTACAGGAGGGTTTACAGCAGGGTGATGCCGAGGGAAGGGGACAACATTTCCCTGCTGTTGTCTCTAGCAGTGTTAGTCATCTGCCCCGAGGGAAATCCTACACCTTGCTGGCTCTGGAGGCTGCTTTTCCTAACGGGAGTTTTCCCCTGCAGGGCAAGGAGGTGATTGAGCACTACCTGAAGGAGCTGATCTCCCAGGGGATCACCTTCATCCCGCGCTGGACCCCTCCGGCCGGGAGCGGGCGGGATGAGCCAAGCCCGGCTGTGGGACACGAGCCTGGTGACATCCCACTGGATCCTGGGGCTCCTGGCTCCCCCTGCCCCTCTGCAGAGGCTGCCAGCCCCGATGGTACGTAGTGCCCAAGCAGCAGCAGCTGCTCACAACCCTCGAGTAGCGCTGACTAAGGAGTTTATTTTTATTTCTTTTGGCATCAGGTTTTTCTTCTGGATTGTGGGTGAGGAGGAAGGAAAGTTATTTTCTTTTTTTTTTCAAGAAAAACAAACAATGGACCTTTTTCTTTTTTTTTTTTTCCCCTAAAACTGATAGGCTAAGAAAAGCTGCACAAGCAGGATGTTTTTGAGCTTAGAAAACAAATTGATCTGTCCTTTAAGGTGTTTTCTGCTTTAAACTGGAGAAGCTTAAAGGTGTCTTGAGTATGCTAGAATTGAATTATAATGAAGTATTTTGTCTGTTTCAAAATTCTTGGGGACCAGTTTGGATGGCTTTTGCCCCTATATCAGGCCAAGGCAAACTTGCAAAATGTTGCCTAATGCATTTCTCCCAGAAAATACCTGAACCAAAGTTTATCGTGCCTTGTGTTGGTCTGATGTCTTGTAGACTAAATAAAATACTTCTCTGAAGTAGGAGGCACCTTTGAATTTAGAGTTGTGGTATTAGAAACAGTTGTTGTCATTTCTCAGAAGAAAAGACAGCACTTGTTTTGCTGAGTGTGACTAGGGAAAAAGCTTGGAATTTGGAAATGTCAACAGTTCTGCTCTCACCTGACCTTCTCTGGTAGCTTTTCTGTCCTGGAATCCATTTGGAAAGAGATGGAGATCCACAGAGGAGCTGGCTATGAGAAATATTTGATATGAAAGTTAACCTCAGAGTGGTGGATCCCATCTATCAGAAGAGGAGAGTAGCTCTTATTTTTCTGCCTGCATTCCTGTTTAGGAAGGGATTAGCTTCTCTGGGCCTGCTCCCCAGCTCATGGATTCCAGGTGTAGCACTTCCAGATACGTTTTCTGTATAATCCTGCCTATCCTGTGGGTGTCCAGGCCTTGTTTGTAGGCAATGGCATCTGGTGCAAGCCCTTGTGCCTGACAAAGAGCAGCTCTGAGGTGTCCCCAGCCCTGCCCCACGTGTGCCCCAGCACAGCTGCTCCCCTGGGAGCACTCACACCCAGTGAGTGCTCACTGGCACTGCACACCCAGCCCTGGGTGGCACATCTGGCCCTCAGTGCTGGCAGTCACCAACCCCTTGTCCTTTGTCTCTGAGCTGTTGGTGTGCACAGGACTTCTCCCCCTGCTAAACCCCCCCTTGCTGTCTGAAATATGGTGTTATTCTCCCCCTCCCTCTGCTGTCCCTGAGCAGAGTAACAGTTTGGTTTTCCAGTGAGCTGCTTTTTAGCTTCTTGTTATTGGAATTGTGCATGAGACTTTAGGACACTGGGGACTGAAGTGCCCAGGTCTTGGAGTGGTTAGTGAGCTGAGTGCTAGAGCTCATGGTATATCTTCTAAAGCTCCTGCTGGAGCAGTTCAGGCTGAATGGAATACTGGTGTAAGAGACAGGTGGAGGGATCCAGTTTGGATCTGGTCCGTGCTGTCCGTGGCCTCACGCTCCGGTCACTGTGACACCTTCCCTCCCTCCCTCCCTCCCCCAGGCAGATGAAATGAGGCTTCTGAGCAATGCCTGTGTAAATCCTGAGGAACCCTCTGTGTAGGAACAACTGCCCATCTCCCTGTGGCTGTGCCAAGGCTCCTCTGAACTGTTCCCTTTCCCCCCAGCTGACAAACTGGACGCCGAGTACATCGAGCGCTACCTGGGCCAGCTGACGCCGCTGCAGGAGAGTTGCCTGATCCGCCTGCGCCAGTGGCTGCAGGAGACACACAAGGGCAAGGTGGGGCAGGGGCACCCAGGGGCACCCCGTGGTTCTGCACCTGGGCTGGGGCAACACACCCTGGGGAATGAGAGGCTGGAGAGCAGTGCCGTGGAGAGGGGTCTGGGGGTCCTGGTGGATGGCAAGTTGAACACGAGTCAGCAATGCCACCATGTCCTGGGGGGCATCCAGGGAGGGGATTGTCCCTCTCTGGTGTTGCCTCACCTCCAGCCCTGGGGGCAGTTTTGGGCACCACAGTATCAGAAGGATCTAAAGCTGTTGGAGAGTGTCCAAAGGAGGAACACGAGGATGGGGAAAGGTCTGGAGGGACCACATGAGGAGCAGCTGAGAGCACTTGGATTGTTCAGCTGGAGGAGATGGAGCACAGACCTCATCAAGGTCTGCAGCTTCCCCATGAGGGACAGCTCTGAGCTCTGCTCCCTGTGAGCAGTGACAGGACCCAGGGAATGGCTGGAGCTGTGTCAGGGCAGGGTCAGGTTGGATCTCAGGAAAAGGTTCTTCCCCCAGAGGGTGGTTGGGCACTGACCAGGCTCCCCAGGGCAGTGGGCACAGCACCAAGGCTGCCAGAGCTCAAGGAGGGTTTGGACAATGCTCTCAGGCACATGGTGGGATTGTTGGGGTGTCTGTGCAGGGCCAGGAGTTGGACTTACGATTCCTGTGGGCCCCTTCCAACTCATGATTTTTCCCTGGAAAGCAGCACAGGCACTGAGGGATAGGTGTCTGTGCTCTGCTGGGATGTTCAGAAGCTGCCTGGGCTCCTCCTGGTTGAAGGAGAGTCTCTGTCTTAGGCTGAGAGGGTAACTGGTGTGTGGCTGAGAAAAGAGAAGATCTGGGGCAGCTTGAATGCCTCAAGAAGGATCTAACCCCAGATTTCCTGAGGAAGAGAGATTGGAAGGGAAGAACAAAGGATGGCAACAGGGAGAGTAACTGGGTGGGATGAGTAGATAAATGGTGCTTAGGAAGAAGAGAAAACAGGAGAAAGATGGTTGGAACATCCCCCTGGAAAGCAGAGTCCAGCTGGAGGAGCTTTGCCAGTCCCTTCTGCATGATGTGCTGTATCTGTCTCAGAGCTGAGAGAGATCGTGTCTCAGTGAGTAGAGGGAGTTTGAACATCAGTTATAAAGCCCTGTTTCTTCTTGGAAAAATTAACATGTATCACCCATGTAGAACTAAAATGTAACAAAGACTTGGTTCTGCAGTTCTGTTGCTGTTTGACTCATGAGGAAGTTCCCTTGTGTGTGAGTGTGTGGGGAATGGTGGATGGAGAAACATCTCCCAGAAAACCTCGGGGTGGAGAGAACAGTCGGTGTTGAGGCAGTGTGAGAGTCTCCCAGCAGCTGAAAAGGTCCAGACATCAACAACACTGTTGAATCTGTAAAAGCTGACAAATTCAGAACACAAAACATCTTCCAAAGCTCTCCAAGGCCACTGGTGTCCAGGAACATCAATAACATGTTGTATAAGGGGGATCATGTCCAGGAGCATGGTGGCTGCTGGGGGCAGGTAGAGACTACATACATATTTATATGTATGTATATATATACACACACCTGATGGAGCAAAGGGCCCCTTGAAGCACTGTAACACCTCCCTGCAAGCTGCTGTCATGGTAGTGTGATGCTCTGCCTGGGAGTAAACACAATAACAGCTTCACTAATAAAAGGGCCTCTGCTGAATATTGGTTGTGATCTGTGTCTCCCCTGATTCAGCCTCTTGACAGATAAAAGGTGCTTGACAAGTGGACACTAAACAAGGGGCAGGCAGGGATCAGTCCCCAGGTATAACTGTGCTCTGAAATACAGGACATGAGGCTTTTCAGGTCCATGGAGACCTGTCCAGTAAAACAGTGTGGGCTGTGGTGTGGTAGGAGATATCTCACCTACTGGGTATCCACTGAAAACGAGCCCTAGATGGGAGCAAGACAGGGAGGCTTTATCCATCCCTGGGATCTGCAAGGATCCTGCTTTCAGCTGGAACAGGCACCATCCAAACATGGGCCTGTTTTGTTCTCTGGGTTGTTTTGTCCCCTCCGTGTCAAAGGCTGGGGAGTGGAAGCTGGAGAAGCAAAAAGTGAGGGCACATGAGGAGAGTGTGGAACAGCTGCCCCTTGGGGTGCTTGGAGCTGGGTGGGATGTGCTGTGCAGGGAGCCTGGGCCAGGTACAGCTGATTGCTGAGCTCTCATACCCTCGGGTGGGCTTTGGGAGCTCTGTCCCCAGGGGAGCTTGAGCATGTAGGAAGGAAGGTGCTGGCTATTGAAAATTCATCCTCAACCCCCTCACACTGCTGCCCTGTTTGCTTCCCCTGATTCCCTGTCAGAACAGTACAAAACCAGGAGCTTGGTTTGCCAAGCCTTGGGTTTTCCCTGGAGAGGCTGTTACCTTGCTGTGACAGTCTGTTCCTTTAATTCAGAGCAGGGATGTCCTTATTCCTCTGTCAAAAAATATCAAAAAATAGATCTCCTGTTTCTTGGAAAATGGCCCTTCTTATTTTTGTCCTTTCCGTCCTATTTCACTCTCCCTTCCCTGCTCCTTCCAAAGCAGGCATTACCTTTAGAATCAGATTTATTATTGCTTTAAGAATCTGAGGAGCTGAAGGAACAAACTGAAATGGTGTTAAAATTGCAGCTCCTTAAAGCTCCTAATCATGGCTTTGCACCATGTAGAACAGTGCCCATAGTTTCACACCAGGCTGAAATTAAAACTTCATTTTCTTGCATGTGGGAGTTACTGCTTTGCTTGGACAAGGATAAAAGACTAATTCCACTGTGGAATAAGTCCCCTCAGAGCTTCCTGCCTTTGGTCCAAACAGAAGCACTGGATTTGCCTCCTGCCTGAAGCTGTGAACGAACAGAGGAGGTTTGAAACATGAAAAGTAACAAACCTTCCCCCAGCCATCCCCTCTCCTGGGCCCTGCAGGAGATGCAGGGGCTGTTGTGGGTGTTTGGGCTGATGTGTGCTGAGTAACAGGTGCCTCTGAGCAGCAGGAACACAGACATAAATCATCTGATGAAAACTGCTGTCTTTAATCTTGCTGCGATGCAGAAAAAATGTTGGGGGCATTCCTCTAAATACTCCTGAGATCCTGTTTGGGAAGGCTGCCCTTCCCTTGCCATGCCAGACAGATGCAGTGTTAGAACCTGCTGAACAGTGTTAATCTCCCACCTGCTCCTTAGGTGCTTTGGGTTTAGTTTAGGCTGCCTGAACTCTGCCCCATTCTTTGGGTGAGTCAGTTCTTAGCTTGTGAAACCAGGATGGCTCCTGCCTGACACTGCTGCCAGCCTTCCTTCTGTCCTGATTTCTGTTTTCCTGAGCGTGGCAGTGGACAAACAAAGGAGCTTTGACTCCTGAACATGCTATGTTGTGTTACAGCAGGGCTTGGAGTGCTTGTGTTGTGTTAAGCAGTGTGGGTGCTCTGGAGGAGACAGTCCCTAATCCACAGAGCTTGAATTTTTAATGGAAACTTTTGGGGGAGCTGGGGGAGCAACTGAGAATCCAGCAGCACATGGAGCTCTAATCCAGCTGGGATTGCAGCTGACAGGCTGTTAGTGAGATCTGGTGCTTCTGTGGAATCCATCAGGGTCACTGTAATTCCTGCTGCTTGGCTTTACTGGCAAGTTTTCCTTGATTTTTCAGCTAAAGGGAACATGGGAGATCTGGGAAGAGGTTGGAATAAGCCATTCTAGAGACTTGCTTTGGGAAAGCTTTTGTGCCTGTGATGCCACAATTACTGATAGTGTTGGGATGAGTGATAAAGAGAGGGGGTATTGTAGTTTGGTTGATTTGGAGCAAGAGTGTGGTGTGGTGGGGCAGGGAAGCCTTGGGAAGCATTTGGCAGCTTTCCAGTTCAAACACCAGCTGCAGGGCCTGCACAGGAGCTGGAATTGGTGCTGGTGGGATCATTCAGACTGCACAGTCTGATCCCCCTCCAAACAGCCCGTGCTTGGTGTGGTCAGTGTGTCACCTGTGACTGGTTGCCATCCTGTGCTGGTTTGCCCTGGGCAGGTGAAGTGCAGCTCCCTGACTTTCACATGGCATTGTGGTTGTCCTTGTGGATAAACAGCCGAGGCAAACATCAGCCAGCCTGGGGTTTGCTGGGGCTTCTGGGAATTGGATCAGGGAAAGGCTTCCCACAGACAGAGAGTCAGTCCCTTCCCTTGTGCTCCTGGCACCTCTGCTGCTCTCAGCTGGGTTAGTTTAGGAGGGAGAAGGAATGTGGGTGTGTTTGCTTTAATGCCTCAGTTTTAAGAGATTAAAAAGTGGTGTGCACTCTGCAGCCTCCTCTGCAGGGCCCATGGAACATGCCAGTCCTGACCCTGGGCCTTTCTCCTCCCCCAGATCCCCAAGGATGAGCACATCCTGCGCTTCCTGCGGGCTCGGGACTTCAACATCGACAAGGCCCGGGAGATGCTCTGCCAGTCGCTGTCCTGGCGCAAGCAGTACCAGGTGGATTACATCCTGCAGTCCTGGAGGCCCCCTGCCCTCCTGCAGGAGTACTACACGGGGGGGTGGCACTACCAGGACAAAGGTGAGGAGCTGACGCTGATACTGCAGCACGGTCTGGTGATGGGACCTCACCAGTAACCTGGGGGTTTGGAGGAAGTTGTGTTGACACTTCAATAGTTACCAAAGCAGCTCAGTGCCTGTAAACAGCCACTCTGGTTTGCTGTAATTTTATTTTCTTGGCTCAGTTCAGGCAGACTGGTCAGTGCAAAGCAGCATCTCTTTGATAAAGCTGCCTTGAATCTGATTTTTTTATCCTTCTAAAATATTCAAAGGGGCTTTTATAAAAGGTTCTAGAGTGATAGATAGACTGGAGACTGGGGTGCTTCCCTCTTGAAACCCCCCTGTTTGTTTTGAAGATGGGCGGCCACTCTACATCCTTCGGCTCGGCCAGATGGACACGAAGGGTTTGGTGAAAGCTCTGGGAGAGGAGTCACTGCTGAGACACGTGAGTTGTGCCTTCATGTCTCACCTGAGGAGCTCTGTGTCCCTTGGGGTGTTAAAAGTCCTGTCATAGTGGAGCAGCAATCATGGAATGGTTTGGGTTGGAAGGGACCTCAAAGCTCATCTCATTCCACCCCCTGCCCTGGGCAGGGACACCTTCCACTAGCCCAGGTTGCTCCAAGCCCCGTCCAACCTGGCCTTGGACACTCTCAGGGATGGGGCAGCCACAGCTTCCGTGGGCAACCCGTGCCAGGGCCTCCCCACCCTCATAGGGAAGAATTTCTTCCCAATATCCCATCTAACCCTGCCCTCTGCTGTACTTCTGGGTTCTGTGTTTTTTAAAATAAGATCTCCAGGCTATCCTGGTTCCTCAGCCATACTCAGGCTAATCCTTGTCTGTGCTGTCCTTGATTCCAGGTTCTGTCCATTAACGAGGAAGGACAGAAGAGATGTGAGGAAAACACCAATATCTTTGGCCGCCCCATCACGTCAGTATTGGTGGTTTTGCTGAATCCCTTACAGAGGTTCACTGACATGGTGAAGAATGTGTGGAGGTTTGGGATGACTGGCATTGATGTCCTTAGGGTTGAAGTGCAGACACACAGTGAGTGTGTCTGTTACAGGCTCTTTGGGGAACACTATATGTGTATATATATATATTTATATGACTAAAATGCAGACAAATTCTACAGTTTCATATGAAAGCAAGAATTAGTCCTTCCTTATATCTTTTTATATCCCATTTCAGATAAATTTAATCTTCCTGTCTTGGTGATTTTAATCCATATCTTTGTAATTATAGTGTTTTTTCTATATAGGAACTTGTCTGCCATATTTCACTTCCATTTAAAATGCATTTTAAAATTATTTTTAGCAATAGGCCTGCACACTTTCACCCCTTCTAGAGTGACACTGTATGTTCTTGCACTTAAGTCTGGGTGTCTGTTTTACCTGAAGCTCACCTGGATTCAGGTGTCTCCTGCCTGGGTGTTGATCTGCTTTTTGTTGGAACTGCTGGTCTCCCCCGTGGGCTCCCCTGGATCCTGCACGGGCTATGATGTTACTGGTGCTCTGTGGATCCTGAACTGAGCAGCCACTGTTGGCTGCAGTTCTGACAGGCCTTTTTCTGTGGGTTTGTTTTAGATCCTGGACATGCCTGGTGGACTTGGAAGGGCTCAACATGCGGCACCTCTGGCGGCCCGGGGTGAAGGCCCTGCTCAGGATCATCGAGGTGGTGGAGGACAATTACCCCGAAACCCTGGGGAGGCTCCTCATCGTGAGAGCCCCCCGGGTGTTCCCTGTGCTCTGGACCCTGGTGGGTGAAAGCTGGGCTGCAGGGTCATAAAGGGCTGTGCATGTACAAATAGCTAAACCAGCCAGAGTCAGGGAGGGAAAAGCCTCCAGGTAACTCCAGGCTGAACTCCTGAAGAGGCCACAGTGTTGCTGCAGAGCCCAGCCTGGTGTGCCTGGAGCTCACTTGGTCCCAGTGATTGTCATCTGTCAGGACAGGGTGTCAGACCTAAATTGCAACCCTTCACGCAGTGGGAGCTCAGACTTGGTGGGTTGTCATATGGATGGGAAGATGGATGTTTTTTAATCTCATGCTGGAGGACACTGAAGAGTAATCAGCAGTAAATAATAAATATGGTTCTGCCTGGTGCCTGCTGTAATGTGAGAACATGGTCATTAAATTCCTTGTGAGGTTTGTGTGTGAGGCAGTGACAGCAAACCTATTTTGCATGAAGTAGAAAATGCTGTGAGATGACAGTATATCCCAATATGCCCCAGTTAGAGTTCACTTCCCATTTGGTACCCCTTTCTTTGGGGAAGTACTTTAGCATTTCAAAGCTCCTGTTGGACTGCATTCCTGCTGCTGAGACCTTCCAGTCTAGAGCCTAAAGCATCCTTATGAGATGGTGCAAACGTTCTTTCTGACTTCCCTCAGTGGCAGTGATGTCTTCTGTCCTCTTTTTCTTTCAGGTCAGTCCCTTTATCAATGAGAACACACGGCAGAAGTTCCTCATTTACAGTGGGAATAACTACCAGGGCTCAGGAGGGCTGGTGGACTATGTGGATAAAGAGGTGATCCCAGACTTCCTGGGAGGAGACTGCATGGTGAGTGTTCTTTGCTGCTGTGCAGGTGAAATCTGGAGTTGATTCCCTCTTCCTCACCACCCTGGCCTTCCACTGCCTTCTGGAAGGGGTTAAACCTCTGTGCTGGCTGGGATACCCCTGCTCTGAGCACAGGGCAGGTAATTTGGGCCCAGGAGACCACCCTGAAGTGGTGGTGCTGCCCTGGGCATGCTGTCCTGGAGAAGGGGATTAGAGGTCAACTGTAAATGGGGCTGAGATAAACCTGGATAGTTCCAGTAAACTCAGTCCCCCTGTGCAGTCCCAGCCCAGCTGAGGGTGTTATTCTGTGTCTGACACATGGCAAGTGTTCCTGGGACAGGTGACTTGTACTTTCCAGCTGGAATACCATGAACCCTCCTGTCTGTGTGTCCTCTGCCCAGTGCACTGTCCCAGAAGGTGGCCTTGTCCCCAAGTCACTGTACCAAACCGAGGACGAGCCAGAGAACTCTGATCACATCCGGCTGTGGACAGAAACCATCTACCATTCTGCAAGTGTCCTCAGAGGAGCTCCACACGAGGTACAGACCCCAATTCCTGGGCTCAGGAGGTGCTGAGCTGGGACAGGGGTAGGTTCCTTCTGTGAGGCTCCCCCAGGGTGAGCAGGAGGTGGCTGGGCAGCAGTGCTGTTCCTGGAAGGATGATGTTAGGGGTGTTAGCTGGAAGTGTGGGAGTTAAGAACAGCACTTTAAGAAGCAGTGTCACTTGTCTTTGCTATGGCCTGATCTTCTGTAAGATACACTCTCTTTCTCCTCCTCCTGGGAGAATTAAAGGTCCCTCCATTTCCCTTGTGGCAGTTCAGGTCTCAGCAGTGTGGCTGGGAGGGCAATGGGGGCAATATAAGAAGGTGTGCACTGGGAACAGCCTGATGAGATTCAGCAGGAACAGAATGTCCCAAAAAGGAGCCACCTGAGTGTCAAATCAGGCCTCTGTTCTCACTGATGGGCAGTGAGTCTGATTTGGCTCTTTGCTGTGTCCTATGCCTCTTTTCCACAGAGGTTTTCCTAGAACTATAACTGATTTACAAGGAACTCTAATATGGGAAGAGACAGGGTGAAAACGCTTGAGCAGATGTACTGTGGCAGGAGACTGGGAATGGGAATGGTCTGTATCCTCCTTGGGAATCGAGGCCATCAGCCAGCTGAAGGACTGTGTGTGCTCCACGGAGTGGGGAGGAGCACAGTGGCTGCCACCTGACTCTGCAATGGGCTTGTTCTGCTCCCTGCTTTAGATAGTCGTGGAGATTCTGGAAGGGGAATCTGTCATCACCTGGGACTTCGACATCCTGAAGGGGGACGTGGTGTTCAGCCTCTTCCACTCCAAACGAGCTCCTGAGCCAAGTCACAAAGAATCCACGTTACCAGGTCCCTGTGCCGGGGACAACGTGCAGCTCATCGACAGGACCTGGGTGCTGGGCGTGGATTTCAGCCGTGTGGAGTCACCGCTGGTCTGCCGGGAGGGGGAGAGCATCCAGGTCAGAGGGTCTGGGGAGAGCATCCAGGTCAGAGGGTCTGGGGAGAGCATCCAGGTCAGAGGGTCTGGGGAGAGCATCCAGGTCAGAGGGTCTGGGGAGAGCATCCAGGTCAGAGGGGTCTGGGGAGAGCATCCAGGTCAGAGGGTCTGGGGAGAGCATCCAGGTCAGAGGGGTCTGGGGGCTGGCAAGGATCTCACAGTACTGCAAACTCCAAAATGAGCTGCTGGTGGGGAAGGAATTGATGACCTGAGAACCCCTTCCTAAAGGGGCTCCAGGACAGCTGGAGAGAGACTTTGGACAAGGGCCTGGAAGGACAAGACAAGGGACAATCGCTTCCCACTGCCAGAGGGCAGGGTTAGATGGGATATTGGGGAGAAATTCTTGCCTGTGAGGCCCTGGCACAGGTTGCCCAGAGAAGCTGTGGCTGCCTCTGGATCCCTGGAAGTGCCCAAGGCCAGGTTGGACAGGGCTTGGAGCAACCTGGGCTAGTGGAAGGTGTCCCTGTCCATGGCAGGGGCTGACACTGGATGAGCTTTAAGGTCCTTTCAGCCCAAACCATTCCATGATTCTGTGATCATTCTCTGGGTTCCCTGTGAAAGTGGCTGCTGTCCCAGGGCTGCTTTAGAGTGAACCATTGGAAAGAGACTCCACGATAAAAACCTAATGGAAAAGAACCTTTTTTTGCTGGCACTGCAGGGGAGTGTCTCAGGCAGGTAAAAGTGGTGACACCTGTGCCCAGAGCCATCAGCTCCATCGGGGTTCTTTGACTTCACTGGGTCATTCAGCCATTTCCCAGGACTCCCCGTGGTCACTGGTGTCCCTCCCTCTCTCCAGGGGTCCCACGTGACGCGCTGGCCAGGGTTTTACATCCTGCAGTGGAAGATGCACGGCCCCCCTCCCTGCTCCAGCTCCAGCCTGCCCCGCGTGGACGATGTCCTGGCCTCCCTGCAGGGCTCCGGCCACAAGTGCAAACTCATCTACTACTACGAGGTGTTGGCCTCCAAGGACTTCAGGTGGGACATTTAGGGGGTATTTACTACATGAGTTGCACTGGAGAAGCCAAATGAGGGGGCTGTGTGTGAGTTAAACATTTGGATCCCCGTGACCTCCGCTGGGTGCGTGTCATTGGGGATAACTTTGACACAAACTTGGTGGCATTTTGCACAATCAATCTCCTTTAGTGCTGTAGGTATTAAGGGCCCCCTTGGCTGTGTGTCCACCTGAGGAATTTGTGCTTCAGGTCTTGCTTGCAGCTGCCAGAAGAGCAGGAGGTTTTTGACTCAGGAGGTTTATCTTAGCTGGGAAGATTTTGAGAAGTTACTTTTGGAGTAACTCGGATATCAGCTGGGTATTTCCCAGATATTCTGTCTGGCAGAGAAGGATGTCTGCAGTGACTCAGAGAGCACTTCTGAGCAGGTGAACAGTCAGCCTTGGGACACTGTGCTTGGCCTCCTCCTTTAGTGCTGAAAGCACTTCCCAGTCACCTGTTAATCTGAATTCTTTGCGAGTCCTTGACCTTTCCCTGGAGCTGGAGGAAGTGTTGGGCAGAACAGACTTGCAGGTGGTGACTTGGCCAGATCCTGTGGAGTCAGAGCAGCAGCAAACACCTCCCCCCAGTCATGCAAACATGTTCCTTGGTGCTCTTCCTGCATTAACTGAGCCCAGCCTGCTTTTGGCAGGAGCTGGCAACAATGGCTGGGCACTCTGGAGCTGGGACTCTGGTGTTCAGCAGCCTGCAGTCCTTGGGCTCACAGTGGCTGCTGCATTTGGGATGCACTGGAGTTTTCCTTTCTGCTCAGGGGCAGCAAAAACAGCTCTGCAGAGGCTCCAGCTCTGTCCCCTTCCCCAGAACAACACCCAGGGACAAGGAATAATATCTGTAACTGGGAAAAAATATCTCTAATGAATTTTTCATGATGACACGGAGATTCTTAGAGAGCAAGTGGAAAATGATGAGACAAAAAGCACTTGTGCAAGCACTATAGAGGGTAAGCTGATCTGTCAGGGGAATAGTTCTCCATTAATTGCTGCCTTCCTAACAGCCCATCTGCTTTGTCCCATCCCAGGGGATCCATGTCGAGCCTGGAATCTTGCAACAGCGGCTTTTCCCAGCTGAGTGGAGTCACGACATCTTCCAGCCAGTCCCAGAGCAGCTCCCACCTTTCCAGATAGCAGAGCCAAGGCTGCAGGGAAAGACCTCCTGGGCCTTCCTGCCCCCGGAGCTGCTCTGAGCCCCAAACCAAAGAGCTCCAGGGCTGAGCCTTGGGGCAGTTGTGTCGCAGCCATTTGGACACAGAGAGGCCTCTGGGAGCTGCTTAAACCACAAGACCTGGAATTCCAGTTGTGGGTTTGGAGTTCTGGAGCAGCTGCTGCTCCTCAGGGGTCTCTTGGATGGATTTTGGCTGGATGTCAGTTGGCAGGGATCGCTCCAAAGGGCTTCTCCCATCGGTCCTTCCCATGTGTGGCAGAGGAGGCTGATGTTGCCTTACCTGTTGGACCTTTTGGTTATTCCTGGGTAGCACAACTCCTGGAGTTTCCTGGGTGCCCACAGGGCTCCACCAGACACTCGAGTTGGGCATTCCAGGGGCCGGGCCTTGGAAGGACACCTTGGTACAGGTAGGAGAGTTCAGAAATCACTTCCAGGTCGAACCAAAAACCTCTCCTGGTCTGGCAGGATGTTACTGGGAAATGTGGTGGATTTTTGTAACCCTGCTGAGACAAAGTCAAAACAGTTTTCTGGAAAGTCCAGGCAGGGAATCTGCCTCCAGCAAGTGGCATCTTCCTAAAGGTAAACTATTGTTCTTTCTCCTCAGGTTTACAGCAATAATGAGTAGGTCTGTCCCATCCCTGAGTGGATGGGAACTGAATCCAATTCTAAAGGGCTAAGCAAAGCAATATTTGATTTCCTGAAGGCACAAGATTTTCTGGCAGTAACTTGCTTACAGTTCCTGCAGAACTTGCTTCTTTAAAACATGAGCTCACTTGAAACCTTTCAAAGAGGCCTGTATGTATGTAAGCACTTACTGAAGCCTATTTATTCAATGCTAGCTTATTTTAAATTAATTTTTAACTTATTTATAATGTCAGAAATGACTATTTATTAAATCCAGCCACCTTTTTTAATGGGATGAACTTTGATTTTAGAAAGGAATAGCTGGTTGTCTTCAATCCCAAGAAGTCTTTCTACTTAAATCCCAATCTTTGTGATCCCTGGATGTTCTTGCAAAAAGGGCTGCACCGTGCAGAACACTGGGGTGAGGGCTGTGTCACCTTCCCTGCAAGGGAAAGGGAGACTCCAGTGCTTTTTGGACTGTTTCTTAGGATTAAGAAGCCAGGATTGAGTTCAGGAGTTGTCATGAAGATTCACTGTCTTCCTGCACCCCAAAAATCCCGTGTTTGTCCCTCATCTCCACTGGTGGTTCGTGTGGTCGGGCTGGGGAGTGAAGTTATCCCTGTTCTTGTCCCCGTGGCAACAAGATGAGAACAGGCATCAAATACTCCCCAAGTTCTTGTTCACACTGATGGAATCTGGGCAGTCCTTCCTTCCCACCCTGCTGGTTTAATTCCTGGGTTGGAAGCACCAGGTGCTGCCAAAGGAGCCCAAATATTCCGAACGATGGGAGGGGAGAACTTGATGTGTTTGAGTTGTTTGGTGATTTTTTTTTTTTAAAGGATTGGAGCCAAGGGAATCACTCTCCCACCTTGCAGGGCTCAGGGAAGTTCTGATTTCCAAGGATTCCCCAGTTGTTCCATGGACTTTTAGCATTTGTCCCACACAAGTGAAACTTCTGTCTCCAGCATTTCAGCATAAATGGAGTCTGAGAGAGTGGGACAAGTATCACCTTTCCTCTGGAAAATCAGGAGTTTTGACAGTAAAAGTGCATGTGTGTATCCCTCATGGAAAATCCTTTATCCATAATTCATTCTGATGCTAGAAATAGAGTTTAAACCAACCCCCAAAGCCCAGCCCATCCTCCCCTGTGCTGGTTCAGGATTTCACCTTCTTGGGGCTCAGTTTTTACATTGTTGCTCACGGCCCACGGTGGCAACCTTCCTGTTTCCTGTGGTTTCCTCTGGTTAAGAATCTCTTCCTTTGCACTGGGATATTTTTAAATTTTATTTTGAAATGTGGGATGTGCTGTTTTCTCCCCACGCTACAAGTTTTGGGTGTTTAACTCTTGTCAGTGAGGCACCTGGAACTTGGCACCTCTGGCAGGTCTCTGGAGGAGCCAGGGAGGCCTGAAGGGCTGGTCCCACGGAGTCTTCCTGGCTCCAGGGACATCCCAATCCTAGTTTTTCCTCATGTTCCTTGTCAGTGCTGCTTCTCTGTCCATGAGATCACAGCACAGGTGTGTTTGGGAAGCAGCTTGTGACCTCTCCCTTGGCAAAGCTGCCTGGGTTATCCCACCTACCCATTTACTTTGAAACCAATTTGAATAATCCAATATTTTTTTCCTGAACGTTAACAGGAGAAAGGGAGCAACAGCCTGGATGTTGTGGCTGGTGCTGTGCTGTGCTTTTTAAACCTGACCTTGTGAGCTGCCAATGCCAGAGATGGAATTCTTCTACATCACCTTTTCCCCCTCAAATGACATCAGTGTGCTTTAGAAAATCAGAGTTTTCTTCACAGCAGCTTCCTGTGAGTTGAGGCTGGGAGGAGTTCTGGATCCTCTGGATCCTCTCCTAAGGCAAAACCTTGGGAAATAGCCTGGTTTGGGTGCTGATTGGAGATGCAGCAAGGCCCTCCCTGCTCCCTCCCCAGCAGCAAAGCCAGTGAGCTTGGGCCGTGTTCAGGTAATTAAAAAACAGCCCCCAGTAAATCGGGGCCTCCCTGTTTCAGATGTTCCATATGCAAACACAACACCTACCTCAGAGCTGCTGCCGTGTCTCCTGTGCTGGGGTGCAGAGGGCTGGGCCATAGTTTACAGTTAAATATGGCCAGAGGTGAAACCTTTTGTTCTCAGTGATTCCTCCAGGTCCGCCCCTTTTCCTGGTGTCTGTCCCAGCACGACTGGGAAAGGCAGGCATGGAGCACGAGGATGGATGTTGGATCGCTCAGGGCACGGCTGGGCTGCAGTCCTGGGCCATTCTGACTGAACCTTCGCTGCCTCTCGGGTGTGAGAAGGGCTGCAGCAGAGGAGGAGCCTCCGGGGCTCCAGGGGCGGCTCCGGCGCTTCCCGGGGCCCGGGAGAGCTGGGACCCGGCACCGAGGGCTCCTCTCTAGCTCCTCAGCTCCTGGACTCGCTCACTGCTCTTGGGAAAGGGAATTCCCAGCCGTGCCCAGGGGAGGGAGCCCGGAGTGCCGCTGGGAGCGTTTGCTGCCGCGTCCAACCAGTTCCCTTTCAGGAACAGGGAAAAACCAACTTGGAATAAGAATTTCTAATCCCAGTTTGGTTTGAAAAAAGTCATAATCCGCTCGTCCCAAATCTGTACCACTTCCTGAGCTTGGAATTCCCGGTGGGAAGTGCTGAGCCCAGCTGTCCACCCTGCTGGGGTGGGAAGTGCTGAGGGCCAGGCCAGCCCAGCTCCAGGCAGGGAATCCCTCTTTTCAAAAGGCACACACTGCTTCATATCCCAGATGTTTATACTGTGAGCAATTAATGCAAGGAGCAGCTATTAGACTCTTAACTGACAGCACTTCTCAAAGATTCCTGCATGGATTCAGCTTTAATATTCCTCCAACACCTTTGTCACGATCCTCACACCTGATTATTTCTCTCTTGGAAGGCAAAATTGGAATTGTGTCACATGCACAGGCTTTTAGTGACACCCACACCCACTTCCAAGTTCTTAGTGACATGTGTAAGTTAAATGGGCATTAATTATTTTACTTACTTTCTCTCCCTTGCAGCTGGCTTTGGTTTTATTTACTGAAATCCTCATTTTTCTCAGCCAAACCTCCTTTACGAGCCCTCTGCAAACTGCAGGGCCCTGTAACGTGTTCCCTGACAACAAATGTACTTCAGTGACTGTCTGTGGGTCCCAGTAGAGCTGTACCTTTGGGTATGTTGGAAATAAAACAGCATCTCTAAGAACACGTGGAATTGTTTGATGCAATTGTTCAGACTGGGGGAAACTGAAAATTGAAGCCTGGGTGCTGCTCTTTCCCCCAGAAGCAGAGGTAAGGCTGGCTTGTGGTCACTTATTCCTGCTCTTGAACTAAAATGGTCACTTTTTGCCTGCAGAACCAGCATTGTTGTTTAGTTTCCTAGCCCAGAGTGGGCTGGGACAGCACATCCTGCAGTGTGGCTGTTATTTAAAATAAAAGGCCCCAGGGTTGCAATGGGAGGCTGAGGTTAACTGGGAAAGGATCACGGCTCCTTCTGCAGCTGGACATCAGGAATCTGAGTTTCAGGCAGGTAGCACTAATAGACTTTATTCATTTTCAAATAATCTTCTGTAAATCATAGAAAAATAGAGTCTTCTGGTTACAGGCTGATCTGATGCCAACAGTGGCACAGAAATTACACATCCTTTACATGGAGAGGTAAAAAGGGAGTGAGTGCATAAAACTGTGAGTGTTGGGGCTCAGACAGGCTCTAACCCCTCTGCAGCATCCAAGGGGCACGTTAAAGGCTGGCTTTCCCTCAGTGGAAGCAAACTCTAACACTGTTTCAGTTTAATTGTGCAAGGAGGGGTTCTGGATTTCCAGAGGAGGTGTTTGGGATCTGGGAGGGCTTGAAGAACTTGCTGGTTGTGGTCCCTCTGAGGAGAGTCCAGCTGGGGCAGAGCAGCCCAGGCCATGTCCTGCCAGCCATGCCAGGCTGGCCCTGTCTGTCCCCTTCCCTGGCTGGTGACAGTCCCTGAGCCCCCAGAGCCCATCAGCTGCTGGGGCTCAAGAGATGCACCAATGGAACTTGTGACCTGACAAGGCTTTTCCTGTTGCTGAGCTGCAAGAGCCTCCCCAAAATGCAGCACCCATCACACGCTTCTGGGCCAGGAGGAGGGCTCTGGTTTCACTGGGCACTGCACCTGCTTCAGCACTTTAAAATGTTTTGTCACTTTTCTGATTAAAATCTGAGCTCACCAGGGAAGGGCAGACATAGACTCTAACACCCTTAGGCACCAGCTTCCTTAACCCAGTTTTGTGCTAGAGGCAGTTTACCTTGCTGAGTCTTAAAAACACTCAGCACTGCCCAGGTGGGCAGGGACCTTCCTGAGGTGCCTGTGGCTGGTACTGCTCACCCGTGTCCCTCAGGGTTAGGAAGGAACCAGCCCCTATCCTTTCCTGCTGCCACTGTGGGATTGATTCCCTTACCCAGTGCCCTGCATCCCATCAGGGCCACTGGGGATGCAGCCCTGGGGGCTGGGGCTGGAGCAGCAGAGGAGAGGGAGCGGTGGCTGAGCTGGGTCAGGCACAGTGCCCCTGTCAGTGCTGAGGGGCTGTGCAGGGGGCACAGTGAAGCACCTCCTCTCTTCCCATCTGGGACTCTAAAGTGAGTCCTGAGTGTCCTCTGGCTCCCGAGTGTCCTCTGGCTCCCAGGCAGCAGCACTGGGGGGGGGTGTGGCCTCCCCGTTGATGTCCCTCAGGGGGTGGTACCGATAGTCCCCGCGCTGCCGCTCCCACCGCGCCCTCAGCACCAGCCCCACGTTCCCCAGGGCGCTGAGTGCCAGCAGCAGGGCCAGGCCACAGCTCAGGGACAGCCACGTGCTCCTGGGGGACAAGAAAAACCCACATAGGCAACATCTCGGCCTGTGTCACGTGTTCCCAGGGTGCAAAGGATTTGTCAAGAACTGTCCTCCCTTCTCTGCCTTCCCAAGTTTGTGGTCCTGCTCTCAGGCAGGAGAAAATCAGGGAATCCTTTAGGTTGGAAAAGCCCTCTAAGATAATCAAGTCCCCCGGTGCTGCCAAGGCCACCACTAACCCATGTTCCCAAGTGTTACAGCCACAGGCTTTTAAATCCCTCTCCAGAGATGGTGACTGCTCTGGGCAGCTGTCACCACCCATTCCATGAAGAAATTTCCCCAATATCCAAATCTCCACTGGCACAACTTGAGGCCATTCCCTCTCCTCCTGTCCCTTGTTCCCTGGGAGCAGAGCCCGACCCCCCCCGACTCCCCCCTCCTGTCAGGGAGTTGCAGAGCCAGAAGGTCCCCCCTGAGCCTCCTTTTCTCCAGGCTGAGTCCCTCCCGTGCTCTGTGACAGCCTCTGAGGCACACAGTGTGTACCACCCACTTACTCTGACAGAGAGAATCTTTCTTTGCTCCTTTCCTTATTCTGGGAAGCCACACACTGTCCAGCTGGAAAACAAAGAGGGAAGAAAGGCAGTGTTGGGGAGGAGGGTGTAAAATTCCACTGAAAAAAGAGCAAGTTTAAGCAGAGCTGGTGACTAAACCAATGTTATGCACTAAGGCTGTTCTTTCAACTGTTTTTGACAAGCCCCAGGCCCTGCAGGTACCTCTGAGCAGCTCCTCCTGCAGTGCCCTGTCGTGGGTGGTGTTGCAGCTGCCGGTCCGAGGGTCGCAGGGACACGAGTGCTCACACACACACTGGCTCTGGCAGTTGGGCCCAAACCAGCCCAGGGGACACTCTGGGGAGTTGACACGAAGAGGTTGGTCATTGCCAAAGCTCCACTTGCTCTGGAACCACCCAGGCTGTGGCTGCAGCTCCTCCAGCTCAGCTGAGCCTGCAGCAGCCTGGGAGCACCACGCTGGGAGTTCTCTGCTGCCATTTTGTGTGTCAGGGGGAAGTTTCAGGGATCACAGAATCCTAGAATGGTCTGGGCTGGGAGAGACCTTAAAGCTCATCTTGTCCCACCCCCTGCCATGGACAGGGACACCTTCCACTAAGTTGCTCCAAGCCCCATCCAACCTGGCCTTGGACACTCCCAGGGATGGGGTAGCCACAGCTTCTCTGGGTAACTCCTCTGGGATGGAGCTGCTTGAGCATTCCCAGGCTGGAACACCATCCCTAATGGAATGAGGCACACGTGGAGTTTACACTCTGCTGTAATTAACTTGTTCACTGGGATCCACAGGGCCCCAAGTGCCTCAGAGAAGCTGGAGTGGTGACACAAGGGAGAACAGCACCAGCCCTGTCAGCACTGGCACAGGGACAGCCACACTGGGAAGGTGGGATGGCACAACAGCCTCTGGAGCACTCCACAGGCACTGACCTGGATCACCTGAAGCCTGGGCTACAGGCAGGGCCTGGTGCAACACCCTGGAGCAGTGGATGATCCTGTTCTACACTTGGGAGCTTTGGGGCTGAGACTAAACAGAAATCCACAATTTTCTGTTGATGAAGGAAACTCCTCCTTCCTCTCTGCTCCTTGCTTTCCTTTTTAGCCCACTTGGGTAGGATAGGAAGAGCTGGGAGCCAGCTGGTGACACTCCAGCTGTGACATTCAGGCCTGAGCCCCCATGGCAGACCTCTCTCTTGTTTTGCATGGAAGAGGTGGCTCAGAAGTGACACAAAACCCTCTCCCAGCCCAGGTGGCCCTTCAGAGCAGCCCTTACCATGCTCACAGCTGGTGCCATAGAACCCAGGGGGGCAGGAACAGGCTCCGTGCACAGGGTCACAGGAGCCACCGTGCTGGCACTGGCACTTCTGGCTGCAAGATTCCCCATAGAAACCAGGAGCACAGGCTGCAGAGACAAGCAGGGACATCATCAGGGCCCTCCCTACACAGTGACACACCCCAGCACAGCCACAGCTTGGGGTGTGTCTGGCCTCTCCCTTCCCTGCTCCCTCTTGGGAAGTAGCCCCAGTCCCCTCTCCCTGGCTGTGAGGAGCAGAGTGCAGCAGCACTGAGTGTTTACCTTCTGTGCAGTTGCTGCCAGTCCAGCCGGCGTCACACAGGCATCCAGCTGTGCAAACACATGGAACAGCCATTAATGACAACAAAAAACCACTTGGAAACAGCAGGGACCCAAAATTAGGAGCCTCTGCCTCTCGAGGTGCCCCCTTACCCCTGCCAGGAGATGCCCAGAAGAGGAACCCTGCACTCACACCCAGGGTGGGTTCACCCACTGCAGCTGTCAAAGGCAGCAGAATCCCTGCTGAGGGGAGTCCCTGGGATCAACTCTAGGTCAGCTGCTGCAGCCCTGCACCACCAAGCTCTGCCCAGTCACTGCACTGGTGCACACCTGAATGAGAGCTGAACCAGAGCACAGGGAGAGGAGAACGGGACTGAGCAGCACAGAGGGGAGGGTGGACATTTCAGCAGTCCCTGGCTTTGAAATGAATTTATGAAGAAGTGGCAATGGCACAGTGATAAAAATCATGAAGTGGGAGAGACAAGTAAAGAAGGAACAGTAAAGAGACAGGGCAGGACCAGCTGCTGCCACACACCATAATACACTGCCCTGCCTTAAAAACACCTGAAGCAACTCCGGGGCAGGAAGGGAAACTGAGGCCCAGAGCTTGACATCAAGGCTTATTTCAGGCCCAGTTCCCAGGCCTGAGCCCAGCCCAGCCCTGCTGGCTCCTGAAGGCAACATGTTCTGCTTATCCCCACTGCTGCTCCAGCCACTGCAGGGCAGGGGGAGGGCAGCCCCAACCCCCAGCCAGGCCCAGGACATTCCCAGCGCCCGGGGCAGCACCCACAGCCCCTGCCCCAGACTCACAGGGGGTGCAGAGGCCGTGCAGGCTGCAGTTGGCAGGGCCGCAGTCCAGGCTGTCGCAGGCAGGGCCCGTCCAGAAGGGCCCGGAGCAGCGGCAGTGCCCGGCCTGGCACAGCCCGTGCCCGCTGCAGTCGGGGGGGGCACAGCCCGGCTGGTGCACACACACCACGGTGGAGACGCGCCGGGGGCAGCGCCACGTGCTGTCAGAGGAGCTGGGGACAGGAGGGGACAGGTGAGCTGTGCACACACTGTGCTGCCCCAGCCCCGCCCAGAATGGGATATAACCCACAGATGTCAGCCCCGTTCACACTGGCCAACAAGAATGTTAACAACAGGAAAATACAAACACAAAACTAGATTTGAGCTGGTGTTTTAACTAACCATTAAATCCCCATTGGATAGGAGTAATTTCAAACATGGATTTACAGAAGCAACAAACAAAATCTCCCTTTAAGCGGTCTCAGCTTCCCCAGTTTTGGCATCCAGCACGCCTTCCCTGGATGTTATTTGTTTTGATATAAATTATATCATTGCAGTTATGGTAACTGAGTGTTAAATCCCTCCATGTTTACAGTCAGAGATGACTAAAAAGCTGAATTTAAAGTAAAATGTTCTTTAGGTTCTGCCCTGAGGCACGGCAGGGTCTCCAAGGTAGTGGTTCTCTTCCATAAGCTGCTGACAGATCTTTGCTAATTCCCATGAAAGTGCAGCTCTGGATCTCCAGTCTAAGAGCTGCTGCCTTATCCGATTCCCACATCAGGCCACTCAGTCACAGCTTTGCTGCCTGTCTGAAACCAGCTCAGCTTTAATCCTGGATGACTGAGTGCAAAAAATATGGAGTCACTCAATTGCCTAAAACTTTAGAGCCTCTCTCTCCCCCAGATCCTGTCACCTGCCTTTGCTGTGCCCTCCTGGTTGAGCTGGGGGCAGGACTGGGCTCTGCATCCCACCAGGAGCTGCAGGGCCACCTGTGCAGCCCTGGGAACGAGCCACCAGCACCTACCAGTGCTCAGAGGGGTAGTTGGCGAGGGTCCCGTTCAAGACCAGCGTGGCAGAGCCTCCACCATCCAGGTTGATGGCATTGATGACTCCCTGCTGCTTCAGGAATTCTGCCATTTCCCACAAGTTGACCCTGCAAAGCAAAGGTGATTTGTTGATTGACTTCAATGAAGCTGCTGTGGTAGAAGTCTGTCCCTCTCCTCGGTGGAAGGAGCAGCTCTCCCATCCCAGCCCCCTTGACTCGCTGTCTGGGGGCTGTGTGAGCCCTCCCTGGCTCCCTTGAGCTCTGTGAGTCTCTACCTTAAAACATATCCCTGGCAGCTGCAGACTCGCTCCAGTTCAGGCATTTCAGACCTTCCCCAAGCCCTTACCCCCTGGATTCTGTCTGTCCATCCACATGGACCAGGACCAGCCGGCCCTGGCGGTCGTGTCCCACCGCAGTCCTGGCTGAGATCACGTTGATGAACTTGTCGAAGGTGCCTGTGCAGGAGATGGAACAATTCACACCCCAGCTGGGCCAGAATGGGCTGGTCACACACCTCAGTCTGCAAAACAGCTCCCAGCAAGGGGCTCATCTGAACTGAACCAGTGAGAGCACAGCCTGGGCTCCTCCTGTTCATCCAAGCCCCAGAGAAGTGCTCTTGATTAAGCTTTTGTCTGGCACAAAGCAAGGGATTCACCAGCCCTCAGTTTTAAACTCCTGTAAGAGGCAACTTCTCTGAGTTTCTCTTCACAGGTTAGATTGGATAATAGGAAGAAATTCTTCCCTGTGAGGGTGGTGAGGCCCTGGTACAGGTTGCCCAGAGAAGCTGTGGCTGCCCCATCCCTGGAAGTGTCCAAGGCCAGGTTGGACAGGGCTTGGAGAATCCCAGCATATTGGAAGGGAGGCTGGAACAAGATGGTCTCTAAGGTCTCTTCCAACCCAAACCATTCCATGATTCCATGAAAGTATCCCCCCTTCCAAGAGCCCCGTGGGAAGGACAGTCCATGGCCAGGCTCCCCAGGGTTTACCTGTGGTCTGAGTGTCCCCACACTCGGCGTCCCGGCTCTCATTGATGTAAACTTCTCCATCTCTGAGGAGCCAAACCACCCCACTCACAAGCTGCACAAAAGGGTTTGTTTGATCCAAGACATCCTCCTCAGACAGGTAACTAGGAAAGAGAGAGCAGGAGGGGTTACCCACGGTCACAGCAGTGTCATGTAAAAGCCTCTCCTGTTGCCAGCAGCAGGGAGAGGGGGAGAAGGTGTTGGAATGAAGGGTAGATACATCCAAAACCAGAGGCCAAGAAGTGTGAAACATCACTTTAGCAGCCAAAGTGGCCTCTGTTCTCTGCTCTTCTGCACAAACCCACAGCTCATGATGGTCCCAGGCCACTGTGCCTGAAACAACTCCTGCCAGCAATGCAGCCAGTGGACCTGAGCCAGGATAACAAGGGCAGAAAGCATCTGGCAGAACACAAGGCCAGAGCCACTGCCAAAGACTCAGGGATCTGTGGAAGCAGCTGTAACATCTTGCTGCCTGTCAGCTTCCATCCTCCACAACTGTGACACCAAACAGCTCTGGAGAGGATTTGGAGCTAGAGCATCCAGCCTCCTGCAGCTGCACGGAGGAGAAGACTCAGCTGGGTGCTACCTGCTCCCCTCCACCTGGGAAGAGCTCCCTCTGCTCCTCCAGAAGCAAATCCTGTCACTGACCAGCCAGGCAGTGAAAGCACTGTCCTGCTGCCACTTCCACGCTCGGGTGTCGTGTGTCACCATGGGGTGCTTCCCAAGGGATATTCCTCTCTCAAGGATCAGGGTGATGAGTAACACCTGCCTCACCAGAGCCTGCTGCTGGGTGATGTTTGTAACAGGAGAGACAGGAGGAGGGGCTGTGGCTGGACAGCTGAGCTCTGCCTGTAAGCTCTGCCTGTGCTTTTGGGTTTAAAACTGACTCTTTTGATGTCCTGTGGGAACTGGATGCTCAACTTTTAATTGTTTAGTATCCATGACTGTGGGCAAACAAAGCTTTTTGCCTTGTAAAAAAGTGTAATTGCAAATACCTGAATGAAAAACAAGCAAAAAGAACTCCCTCTCCCCATGAGAGGGGAACACAAAGACAACATGAACACGGCTGAAAATGGATCAAACCACACAACAGCTTGGGCATTTTAAAGCCTGAAAACCCCCATCAGCCCAGAAAGGGGCAGCAGCTCTGCAGGGTGGGGGTAACAGTGTGCCCTGTGCTCCATCCTGCTGGTCACGATGCAGTGAAAGACTGAAGGGTGAATTACTTTCCCCACTGCCCTGACAGCCCAAATTATTTACACTCAAACTATTTCTGGGGTCATGGTTTGGGAGCCACAAAGCACCACTAACAGGGACACTCTGCCAGAGCAGGAGAGAGCAGGGCAGAGCTGAGGTTAAGGACCAACAGCGACCTTGCAGTTGTTGTTGGTCCCCTCAGCAGAAGCCCCCTCACTAAAGATATGTCACCACCTCAGGCAGCCCCTGTGCCACAGAAGTGAAGGCCTTGGTGCTCAGGGCTGTCAGAGAACAGCTGCAGGATAAAGCCCTGGCTTGGCACAGTCAGTTTGGCTTTGCAGGGACCCTCGCTGAGGCCTGGGTGGGAGCTGCCAGAAGGGTGGGGAATGCAGCCAGCAGCTGCAGCAGCTTCCAGGCTGCTGCTCCATCTTCTGAGACCATCAGAAGGACCCTGGGAGCCCTTCTGGGCCCTTTAGGCTTGCTGCAGCTCCTGGGGCCTTTCATTCCAGGGAGCACTACAGTTCCTTTGCCAGCTGTTCCTCTTCTGAGGGTTCTGTCTCCAGCTGCTTGGGGAGTGTCACACACAAGGTGGGCAACAAAGCCACTGGCACCTACCTTGTACCAGCCACAGTGTGGCTGAACCAGCAGGCCCAGGGCAGTGCCCATCCCTGTGCTGGCACTGCTGAGGCACCTCCAGCCCCGGGGGCAGTTCTGGGACCCACAGACAGGACAGACACAGGGGCTGGAGCGTGTGCAGGGAAGGGAACGGAGCTGGGGAAGGGGCTGGAGCAGCAGGAGCAGCTGAGGGAGCTGGGGGGGCTCAACCTGGAGAAAAGGAGGCTCAGGGGGGACCTTCCTGTCCTCTGCAACTCCCTGACAGGAGGGGGGAGATGGGGCCGGGGGGGTGTCAGGCTCTGCTCCCAGGGAACAAGGGACAGGAGGAGAGGAAACGGCCTCAAGTTGTGCCAGAGCAGGTTTAGATGGATATTGGGAAAACTTCATGAAAAGGGTGGTCAGGCCCTGGCACAGCTGCCCAGGGCAGTGGTGGAGTCACCATCCCTGAAGTGTTCAGAAAACAGATTTGCCCAGAGAGGATGTGGAGTCTCCATCCTCAGAGATGTTCAAAACCCAACTGGACACGGCCTGAGCAGCCTGCTCCAGCCAACCTGTGCTGGATGAGGCTCCTCCTGAGGTTCTTTCCAAGCCCAGCCTTTCTGTGCTGCAGCCAGAGCAGACTCAGAGTCCACTCTGTCTCTTCTCTTGGGGAGGACAGAGTGCCCCCACTTCAATCACCATCAAGTGTCCTTGCTGTATGTTGGGAGAGGAGACACTGGAACCTAACCAGTTAGAGATCACCACAGTAACTTATCCAGCTTCCTTTCATTCTAGGAGAGATAGCTGCATGGGGTACAGGTAAAACATCCCTAACTTCAGCATTCAAAGTGTGCTTCTACTACAGCTGGGAGAGGCCAAGGAGGCAGTGCCTGGGATGAACTTCATGCCCCAGTGATGCCCAAAAGCCTTCAGCGTGGAGAGCGCTCTCCACACAGCCCCAGCTCTTACCCGAACACCATGGTGCCATCCTTCCGGATGCCAAACTGAGCGTTCTGTAGCCCTCCAGAGTTCCTCACCAGCTCCCCATCGCTCACAACGTTCCCCAGGCACTCTCCGGTTTCCATGTTGAAGTACCCGCCGTTCTGGGCCACCAGACAGTTCCCGAGCTGGGCTGTCTCCTGCACGGTGGCTCTGCGCTGCTCCCGGCAGCCGCCGGCGCCGCCCGGCTCCAGCACCGAGAGGGTCCGCAGGGGGTTCCTCACGAACGTGAAGTGCCCGTAGAGCGCCTTGCGGCCGCTGCCCTCGGGGGGGAAGTACGAGACGAACGTCCTGGTGGCGGCCACCGGGCCGGCCGTGCTGTTGTCGCCGGGCCACGCCTCGTGTGTGACATTGCCGTACCTGCGGGGCTGGCAGTCCCGGACGTGCCGGTGGCCGTGCCGGGGGCCGTGCCGGCCCGGGGAGTAGGGCTGGAGCGCGGGGTCGCCGGGGGGGCTCCTGCAACGAGAACACGCGGCTGCCAAAGCTGCGAGCGGGGGGGACGGGAGCGGCTCGGAGGGGGCACGGCCCCGCTGACCCCCCGGCCGTGCTTCCCCCATGTCCCCGGGGTGATCACCGCGGTTCGGGGGGTCTGTCCCGCTCAGCACCGCACCACCAGCCCGGCCTCGGGAGCCGGGAAGGCCCCGCCCCGGGGCAGGCGGCGCCCCGGACACTCACCCGGCGCCGCGGGCCACCTGCAGCCCACCGAGCACCGCCAGCGCCAGGACCGCACCGACCCCGCCCCGGCCCGAACCCCGCCCGGGGCCAGGCCAGGCCCGGCCTGCCGCGGCCCCGCCGCCCGCCCGGGCCCCCGCCCGCGGCCCCCGCCGCCCACACAACGCCGCCATCTTGGCGGGCGCTCGGCGGGCGGCGGCCGGCAGCGGCCCCTGGCGGGCGGCGGGAACGGGCGGGGGTCGGTGCAGGGTCGGGACATTGATCCCTGAGGGAGATGGTCCGGGATAGAGATAGATCCCTGAGGGAGATGGTCCGGGATAGAGAGACCCCTGAGGGACACGGACCGGGACAAAGATCCCTGAGGGAGATGGTCCGGGATAGAGACCCCTGAGGGAGATGGTCCGGGATAGAGAGACCCCTGAGGGAGATGGTCCGGGATAGAGACCCCTGAGGGAGATGGTCCGGGATAGAGACCCCTGAGAGACACGGACCGGGACAGAGATCCCTGAGGGAGATGGTCCGGGATAGAGACCCCTGAGGGACACGGACCGGGACAGAGATCCCTGAGGGAGATGGTCCGGGATAGAGAGACCCCTGAGGGAGATGGTCCGGGATAGAGATCCCTGAGGGAGATGGTCCGGGATAGAGACCCCTGAGGGACACGGACCGGGATAGAGATCCCTGAGGGAGACAGACCGGGACAGCACTCCGAGGGTCTGGCTCTTTGTCCCCACCAGCTCTGACACTCCCGTGTCTCACACACAACACAGCACATATGGCACTTACAGCCACTGCAGTTCCATCGTCCTCGTTCGGAGGATTAGGATACTGTCTATTTTCCAGAGGGGAAAAACAACTACACCAAGGGGATGGTTTGGGCAGATATGGGTTTTCCTACTGTAACTTCAGTGGCTAGATCCTGTGGTACACATTGACAGAGTTAGCATGAAAATGAGCAGTAGTTTACAAACCTGGGATTTTTCTCTTTCAGTAAATGTCTGAGTCAAATACATGATTAAAAAAAGCAAATCTTAGAATTATGGGATGGTTTGGATTGGAAGGAACCTTAAAGCCTACCTCGTTCCACCAGCCCAGGTTGCTCCAAGCCCCGTCCAACCTGGCCTTGGATACTTCCAGGGATCCAGGGGCAGCCACAGCTTCTCTGGGCAACCTGTGCCAGGGCCTCACCACTCTCACAGGGAGGAATTTTTCCCCAATATCCCATCTAGCCCAGCCCTCTGGCAGTGGGAAGTCATTCCCCCTTGTCCTGTCACCTCATCAAAATTCCCTCTCCAGCTTTCTTCAGGTGCTTGATTCTGTAGATGTTGTGCTCCAAAGGCAGGTATCACCCCTGTCCCTGGGGGAGCAGGGCAGTGGAGCCACAAGCCCGAGGTTGTATTCCAGGTGGAGAAGCTGATATTTCCATGGCCAGTGCCAAAAGGGGAATAATGCCTCAGCTCTCTCAGGGTAACTGTACCTGGTACAGGTAAGCTTGCTGCTGTCTCAGGTACCTTGCAGGTGGAAAAATGTACTTTTATTTCACAAATTAACCACGAAACTCCCATAGCACAAGCCACTGAATTGATGTCTTAGCAAATGGGTTACTATGCCTCCACTTTCATTCAGCTGTGGAGAGCTGCAGGTGTCATGCTCGTGTTTCCAGCTGCGAACAAGCTGTCCCGTGGAACTCCAGGGTGGACTACATGTGGTTTCCATGGTCTAAACTCAGCTCTGTGTAAAGCATGAGTAGAGTACTGCAGGAGTTCACTCAGGATCATGCTTGGCCTTCAACTTTTCGCAGGGAACTAAGGGTTCCAGCAGGAGGCTTCACCCCATTCCCACCCTCACCCTGTCTTTTCTGCAGCTTTCAAGAGAGGCCAGGATCACAACATGGGGTGTAGAACCCACAGGCCAAAAGCTGCCTTTGAAATCCACAGGGAACAGAAACTTCTTGCAAAGTGGAGTGAAAACAAAGCAGTATTTGAAAACTCAATAGTCTTTCCTCTCCATATAGTGAATTTACTTTGCAGTTAATTTCCTCTCTAAAGCAGCTCCTTCCACCTCGCTAATATTAAGTGTAAGTGGAGTATGAGTGACTTGTTTTTGCAGAGCTTTTCGAAGAGGGAAGGGTGGCATTGCCAGAATTTCAGTGTTTGTTTGAGGTGACACATGATTTCGTCACTGATGGAAATAACTACCTGTCATTAAAAATAACAAGTCTCCATTTCAAGCATTGCACATTCACCTCCCCAAAATACAGGGTCTAAAGTACAAGTATGTGCAGGTGCTGTGCAAACACCCTGTGACCACACTGGGCTGAAAGAATCTCAGCAGCTGAGCTGTCCTGAGCTTTGGTATGAAAACGCAGCCCTAAACCTAATGTAGGTCTTAGTCTAAGTCAGGCTCTAAAGCCATCACCTGATACTAATACCAGCAGGTACTGAAGAGAATAAAATGAATTTCATATTTTGGAGCATGGTGGTCATTAGAGGAACATCAGGGCCAGTCCTGCCTGTGAAACACCACAGGCTTTTCATCTTCAGGGCAGTGAACAAGGCCCAGGAGAGTCTCGGCAGCACCAAAACAGGCTGTGGGCTCAGCACTGGGCTACCTGCAGTGGCATTTCAGGCCACCTACAATTGCTTCCAAATTGAGGCTATTCTGCAACAAGCTCCTTTCGTCTCTGTTGTAGCAGGAGTTACACTTTATAACTTGAGAAAACAGGAGAACAAACACAAGAAGTAAATTACCTTGCTGTTAAAAATGGCAATAATTTATCTCATGATGATACAGCACAGCTTCTGTGCTCTGAACCCTGGTTGTGTTTGTGAGCACTGTTAGTCCATACTCTCACAGTGCAGGTGTGATTGGTGCAAATATTTATTAATGAGATATTCTGTGTTAATCTTTTCAGTGCAAATTCAGAAAATGCAATTTTTAAAAAGGTTTGTACTACATATATTACATGTCAATAGAAGTAGCAAAGGAGCAGCGGGTTTTTGTGAGGTTTGCTTAAGACATTTGAGTTGGAGACTCCTGGAATGAATGAAGTTCCACCAGTCAGAGGGATTTTGGCTGCTCTGTCTCTATTGCACTCACAGCAGTCCATCAAGTGGAGGAGGACTGGGAATGGAGCTTAAATAGGCTATTTCTAGGGTAGACTGCAAAACATTCTGAAATGTTACAGGAAGAAAAGACAGGAAATTCTTTTGAAAAACACAACTGTTATTCAACAAATAGGAAAAATTTTACAGGCAAAAATCAGTTCTCTCTCAAAATGTCTTTCTCATAAGTGCATTCGTGTTTCCAGAGCCTCAGCCAGAAGAGATGACTGTACTCGAAATATTTATCTTTCTCCAGCTAAGTGCTCTGAAGATTAGGTAGGCCAAAAGGACTTTTATTGCACTGTACCTTCATAAACTCAAGTCACTGTATTCAGAAAGCTCATACATTTGTGATTTTAAGTAGTTTGATAACCTGCCAGGAAATAGGGCTGTATGGAACTGGGGCTGTTGTGCCTGACAGCCTGCAGGAATCCAGTCCCTCATTCCATCGCAGGACAGGATATTTGCACTTTATTCAAGGAAGTAAAGAGAAAAGTAATTTGCATTTTGCATTAAAATGGTGTTAAAATGTGAGAGAGCATGGGACAGTGAGGCTTTTTCACAGCCCCAAACCTGACAGAGTTCAAGGAGCTGACCAGGCTCCCCAGGGCAGTTGTCACAGCCCCAAACCTGCCAGAGCTCAAGGAGTGTTTGGTCAATGCTCTCAGGGACGGGGTGGGATTGTTGGGGTGTCTGTGCAGGGCCAGGAGTTGGACTAGTGATCCTTGTGGGTCCCTTCCAACTCAGGAGAGTCCATGATCCTATGCTTTCTCAGTTAGAAACAGATGCATTCTGAACAGGATCCTCGAGCAAATATTCCAGTCTTTGCTATCTTGTGGAACCAGTCTGCCCACACTTGTGATTAGTTCTTGCTTTAAGAGGGAACAGTGGTTTCATTGTTACCATGTACTTGCTGGTTGACAATAAGGGGGAGTTACAGTGGAAATGTAACATCGAACAGCTGGTTTTGTCAAAGGGGTCGAAGAAGCATAACTGGAATAGCACGATACCATTCAGACGGGTGGCCATGAGGGAAGGCAGAGAGAGTCATAGAATCATGGAATATGCTGAGCTGGTAGGGACCCACAAGGATCATCCAATCCAAGTCCTGACCCTGCACAGACACCCCAACAATCCCACCCTGGCCCTCAGAGCAATGTCCAAACACTCCTTGAGCTCTGGTAGCCCTGGGGCTGTGCCCACTGCCCTGGGGAGCCTGGTCAGTGCCAACCACCCTCTGGGGGAAGAACCTTTTCCTGAGATCCAACCTGACCCTGCCCTGACACAGCTCCAGCTGTTCCCTGGGTCCTGTCACTGCTCACCAGCATCCTTCATTTGTGTCTTTAAACTTATTTGTAATGAAGAAATACCATTTGTTCTCTGCCTTGTGCGACACGTTGTATTGGATCCCTGGCCACTACAACTAACTTAGTTTTAAACTTATGCACAACTTAACGATTTTTCACCGTGGGGTTCAGTCACTTCCACGGGGGCTTGGCAAGATAATGGAGCAAATGTTTCCGTCAGGAGGCTTCTGTTTGCTCTTGGGATCTGTATTTCCACCAGAAGACAGGGATCAGCAAACTGAAAACAGCTGGAAAATGCTTATTACCTCCATGTATGAAAACCCAGTGGGATGCAGGGATTTAGTACCTGGTAGGTACTGGCACTACTTTACTGGTAGGATCAGGGCTTGAGACAACAAACTGAGGGAAGTGACTCAGATCCAGTGAAGATCTCTTTAGGGTTTAGCTGAATTTGAGCTACAGAAAACACACACTTTGAATAGTGATGGAGCTGTGCTGAAATCACCCCCGACTGCGGGATGATCTAAAATTTGCTGGGAAACCCCACGTTGCGGAGGGCTGTCCGGTATCGCTGTAATTAATTAGACCTCGCTGTAATGAGTTAACCCTCTGCCTGTAACTCTCTAATTGACCCGCCCGTGGCTCCCGCCGCACCCAGCGCGGGCCCCTCAGAGCGCGCGCCCTCGCGCCGCCAGGGGGCGCCCTCCCCGCGCCATTCCGCCCTCCCCGCGGGTGCCGGTGCCCAAGATGGCGGCGCTGGGCCCGATGGCTGTGGCCGGGGGTGACGGCGCGGCGGCAGCGGCGGCTCTGCTGCTGCTGCCGCTGCTGTGGCGGCGGCGGGCGGGCGGCGCGGGGCCGAGTGTGCGTGGCGGTGCTGGGGGACGTGGGCCGCAGCCCGCGGATGCAGTACCACGCGCTGGCGCTGGCCCGGCACGGGCGCGAGGTCTCGCTGCTGGGCTACCTCCGTGAGTGGGGGGCGGCGGGGCCAGGCGGGCCGGGGGGCCGCGCCGCTGACCGCGCTGGTGACCGCGCTGTCCCCCCGCAGAGAGCCGGCCGGGGGGGCCGCGCCGCTGACCGCGCTGTCCCCCCCGCAGAGAGCCGGCCGCACCGGGACGTGCTGCGGAGCGCCCACATCCGCCTGGTGCCCGTGGCCGAGCTGCGCGGGCTGCGAGGTGCGTGAGGGGCCGGGGGTGTGCGGGGGGAGCGGAGCGAGCGAGGAACGAGCTTTGGGTGGAACACTAAACCCCCCGGAGCGGCCGGAGCGTGTGCGGGTCCAGCCCCGCCGCGCTCAGAGCTGCACACCCTGATCTCCCTCCTCTCCATCTCCCGCTAGAATTAAACACCTGCTGGTAGCGGGGCACTTGGTGCCGTTCGGATGCAGAGCGAAATGTG